GACAAGTCTTGAAAGTTCTCATCTGAAAGACATACCAATGTAGTTTGTAACAGTAATTCACAGTCACAACTTCAGCACACACACCCATGAAGCTAAAGCTAATAAAAGTGTTAAGTACCCCCACACACACACCACATAAGATGAACAAAAAAAAACAACTACTCTGGTTGCTCTTTGCACCACTAAAACATTTTTGTGGTATGGCTGTGCAAATTTTTTAATGTTATAAGGCAACAAGCATCTAGCATTGAGGGGGCCGGAAGAGATTTATCAAATTAGAAGAAAAGGACAAAAGTGGTTCTGCCAGGTCAAAAACTGTTAAACCATGTTTGTCTCTTTTTGAAGTCTTAGTATCTCCCAACTCTTCTTTCTACAGCCATAAAAAACAAAAACAAATCTAATCTAGTTTTATCTAGTTTGTCAACATCTACTCCCATTCTTTCTTTTTCACAGCAATATGCGACTATACACACTGTTTACCTAAAAACTGGCAGAAAATGTCAGATAAAGGTGCTTACATAATTGCTAGGTTACTCAGAATACATTAAGACATTGGTAAAATGTTCAGAACAAAGTATTATCACAAATTTTGTTGCCTACTTCCTTCCAAGACCACCTGTTTGGTTATAACCTAATGTTTTGAAACTTTTTCCATTATCGCTATAGTGGCTGCACTACTCTGTGCTTTGTGTGGTTTGTCATGGTCTGTCAATTTTTAATAACACAGCTGTCAATTTATAACTATACCAGGAATGTGGCTGGGACAACACAAGCTGAAGGAGGAGATAGAGGATCCAATAACTTTGACATTAACAAACACACCCATGAGCCCCAGCTACATGAAGAGGGGCTTGATATTCAAGTTCAGGGTGAGGCTTCCTCACTTGTTTGCTCCTTGTGGTCTGGTATTAAGTCATTTAACAAAATTAGCACCCATTTACCTTTAATGTAAACATGCTTTACTTGTATATATGTTGTAGCAGGATTTAACCATGCACAATGCAAGGTGGTGAAATCTGAGTGGCTCAATGTGAGTTAGAGCTTGCAAGAACAAGGCATGATTAGTAAGTACGGGTGCGCGTGGAGGTAAAGTTTCATCAAGTATTTCAGTGGCATTTGGGTGCAAGTGTCCAAAAGAAGACATATGGTGTGAGAAACAGAAAATGCTAAAGAGATAGAGTAAAGTGAATGCATGCGAGTATGTGACAAACTGAGTCTGTGACAAACTGAGTCTGTAAATGAGAGACAGGGGGATGAAAGCCCGGGAAGAAATGAGCAGATCTTGACACAGGAGGTGACAGCTGTCAGCTGCAGCCTTTCACAGGCCTGACATTCTCCACACGCCTGCAACATTACACATGCCTACCATACCTGTTTGTGCATGTGCATTAGATCAGATCACACTGCCAGTTGTATGTTATATTCTCATTTGCCTCCCTTCAAGCTTCTACTTGTCTTTCAAAAACTAGCAAAATTAAAAAAACAAAAACAAAACCCTTTTCTTTTTCCATAATGAAGACTGATCAGATTTCAGCATTTGTAAAGCCAGTAAGGCAACCATCTAATAAAAGCACGTCAAATAAAATTTTAAAATAAGCACAAGATTTTCATGACACACAAGCGACAGCTAGTCTTCCAGCCTAAAATAGTCATGCACACTGTATACATTGTGACGCCATTCAAGCTCTCTCTGGAACTTTACTCTCACTTTCCTACATGCCTCAGTACAAACACGTGGAGACAGATACTTCATGTTAAAAGTAATAAAAATCACACTCAGATATTTACAACCTCGTCAACCTTGTTTACCAATACATGCAAATGAAATTCTATCATTAACCCTAAATGCAAACCTATCGACAAAATACTTATTCTTTATAAAAACCTCACTCTGAAGTCTGACATGTTTACAACCTCTACCAGAGGCCATTAAGGTTTAGCTGATGGAAATTTTAAATATTGGGGTTTTTTGTGTGTTTATAAAGCAAGTCTTCCAAATTTTCTATACCGGTACTTGACCGACAACAGCGTTTAGCTTTTTCAAGCTCACTACACATGTGTCACCGTGTCATATGAACTGATAATAAGATATGAAATATGTTGATCTTACGAGGTAACATGTCACAGCTTAGATGTCTATTCAGTTTATCCTCCATTTTCAGCAGTAATGTAAGCTAAAAGGACAGAAACAGATTGAGAAAAGGTTATTTTCATTTCAAGTCGTTGCAGCAGGGTTGTTGTATTTTGAATTATTTTAAAAATAAAAAGAGAAAACTGCTAATGTTATAACTCTTACATGATACTTTGCTCCCTCTTCGACAGGCTCAAAGCTGCACTGCATCTGAATAATCTGCAGAAAAAGAAGAGCAGTCACATTAGAACTTTATATGATGCGCTGTGTCTTCATTCAGTGGCCAGTTCAATGTCCATTATGCCGGTATAAGTTGTTTTACACACCTTCCGTGTCTCAAGCTCTGAAGGTTCAGGCGTTGGGGATTTGACTGGAGGGATGACTACAGGAGATTTAATAGTCTCCTTCTGAGTCTGATGTGGACAGGGCAGCCCAAATGCCGTCATTGGATAAATACCATTCCTGATCAAAAGAGAGAAAAAAGAAAGGAAAATGTGGAGAAAACATAAAAAAGAAACAAAGTGAACTGATAAGACAATGGAATAAGAATGGGAATTGGATAAATCAGTGTATTTATTTTCTTTGCAAGCTCCTTTGACAATAAATATGGTTAATAGTTGAAGACAAAGGCCCAAAACACAACATTTTATTTTTTTTAACAAATAATAGCCACAAAATCTAAGATACTGAAAATATCAAAAATAGTATCACATCATATAGTACTTTAAAAGATAAGTGGAGGCAGTACAAAAAACAGTCAGATGGCCCACTGCTGCCTCCTTGTGGCCAGACCCATTTTTGAGCACAGGGTTAATAGCAGCAGCTGTGCATTTACCTCACATCCTCCAAAAACTTGTCCAGCTCCAAAGCTGGAAACTGTGAAAGCCTACAGAAAAAAAGGGAATAGTACTTTTTTGAACCTACTACTACACAACCTAGAGAATACTTTATATCACTGATGTTACTGCTATAAGGTGCAAAATAAAAACATAATTTTAGATGTTCAGTATATCAGCCTTTGGCACTTACTTGAGCTGAACATCCTCTTTGGTCTCGGCAACAACCAGGTTTGGGTCCAGTTTCTTAGTGATCTCCTCGAGGGCATTCTCAGGAATCATGTCTGGGCAATTAAATTAACATAAAAGTAAATATCTTTAAATTTACACTTGCATACATGCTTGTTGCTGCATCTGTTCAAGAGGCAGGAAATGACACCATTAGTCACACTAGCTTGCGACCTGTTTTGCTCAGTACCACACCACAAAAAGATGATAATGAATTAGCAGAAAAAAAGCTTATGAAACTTGCAGTGCAATATGTTTATCACACTGTTAACAATGCAGTTTAAAGTTATGTTTCTAAATTTGCTTGTTCAGTTTTAAAAAAATGTCTTCTTCATGAGAGGTTTGCAAGTTTTAAGCCTGATAAAACTTTATTTTTGGTGGGGGGAAGGGACTTACGTTGATGGCTGACAATACAGTGTGCAGCCAGCAGTTTTAAGAGCGGTACTTCAAAGAGAGCCTGGTTAAAAAGAAGCTCCCGGGCTGTAGGTCTGGCAAGAGGGTCACATTCCAGGCACTTCTGGATTAATTCCTATATAACATAAGAAAAAACCCAACAATTAGGTGATCTCCTGTGTGCAAGCACTTGGCAACAGTGGGAAGGAAAAACTCCCTTTTAACAGGTAGAAAACATTTGGCAGAACCAGGAGAGGGAGGGGCATACATCTGCCGCAACCGGTTGAGGGTGAGGGAGGGAGGCAGGAAAAGGAAACAAAAACTATAATATACAGAAGAAATGGGAATGAGACAAAGCATTTTTTGAGCATGCAATTTAATGAAAGTAATGCTTAAACTGAAACACCTCATCAAAAGTTTAGGACCAAATGTTTAGGACCACGAGGCCAAATCTGTGCAAAAATGTGGATTCAATGTCATTTTCTGTCAGATACTCACACTGTCATGACGTTCTGATGGCAAAGGCAAAAAATAAATAAAAACGTTCCCTTTTTGAACACGGTGAGGTTGTTGAACTGCATAAACAGGGCCTCTCGCAGCACGCCATCGCTGCTGAGGTGGGACGCAGTAAGACAGTCATTTGGAATTTCTTAAATGATCCTGAGGGTTGTGGTTAATTGGAAGAACCAAAAAAAAAAATTTCACCAGCACTGAGCCGGAGGATCTAATTGGCTGTCGTTCAAGACACTGGATGGTCCTCAACCCAAATTAAGGCTGTTACTGGTGCAGACTGCAGCCCCATAAACATCAGACAGCATCTGAGACTGAAGGCCTTCAAAAAAATGGTGTGAGGTGCTTTTTCCTTCAGTGGAACAATGGAGCTTCAAGACGGCCACTGGTTATGTCGAGAAAAATGTTTTGTCTTACTCCCATTTCTTGTTGCAGTATGTTGAAGCTCTACTTGGAACCTTGTTAAGATCCAACCATGCAAAATATGATTTTTTGCTATTTTTTTAAGTGGTGTTAAACTTTTGATCATGACTGAATAAAGATGCTGACGCCTACAAACACACGATATACTGAATCTCACCCTCTGCAGTGGGTCCTCCAGTAACTGTATGGCATTGTTGATAGCCTCCTGAGAAACATGAGAAGAGTCTCCATTCCCCTGAATCTCCAACAGTGCCATCTGCAACACATCAGCACTCATTAACAGACAGCTCTGGGAAACAGTTTAAGCTCTTATATATCATATACTACGCGTCCCATCTCACCTCTAAGGCACACATGCCAAAGGAGTAGATGTCTGCGGCTGTAGTAACATCAACATCTACAATGGGAAAAGACAGCATGTACATATATTACATCGTAATCTAGACTAAGACCTATGATCCAATAATCAAAAGTGCGTCTTTGACAGCTGACCAAAAAACCCCCAAGAACCAAAAAAAAAAAAAAAAAAAAACCCCAACCCAAAAAGAGATATTAATAAGAGCATACATGATCCTGTTGCATGAAGCACTTTGTGCTTGCAATTTCAATGGAAAAATAACTGTGCAATAAGCAAAAATATTAGAATAGGGCATAAGAATTTAGTATGCCTCCAAGGACCTCTTCCTTACATTTTATATTGTTCTAATACTTTGATGTTATATACATTTACATAAAATACTGTTCGTATAAAAATACAAGCTTGCCATATTTTATTTAACAGAAAGGGTTTTGAAGAGAAAAACGTTTACTCTCTTAAAGAAAATGAAATATGGAACACCCTGACTTTTCTATCATGTTACTATAATAAAAATATTTTTGTGAGAAAGCTGAAGTTCATGTGTTTAAACATGTTTTCCAACAGAGCTGTATCATAGGTATAAATTGCTAATATCAGTAATAAGAGAAAATCTACCTCCATATTCCGGAGCAAAGAAGTGCAAATTTTTCTGTTCCTCGGTACAAGTCTTTACGTGGTTGTTAATGGTGTCTGGAGCAACTGCAAATGAGATAAGGACAATTATTTTCAGAATACACAGAAGGATGAGAGAAAAAGTAAGAAAAGTCTGAAAAGTAAGCATAGGATAGGAAGAAGCAAAACTGCAAACTGAAAAAAAAGTAATGAAACAAAAAAACAAAAACAAGAAAGATAAGCGATGAAAAGATGAACCAAATTCATAAACTAGCGATGTAAATATTACCTTCTGTTGTTTAAACTTTAGTGTGGGATTGTCTGGAGGCTTTGTGGTTACACTTGAGTCACTGTAGCCATATTTACACTCAGAAAATTGGTTTTCTAAACCACATTATGCACAACTTTTGTTCCCTCATATGATGTGCAGGACTGGTTTGTACAAGAACAAGGCAAAGATTTGACCATTATATAAGAAGTCTGAACTCCTCAAAGTCTATTTCCTGCTCAGCTTGCAAACTAAAAGCAAAAATAGGGGCTGTGTATTAAATATACATTTAACACTGGCAAGACTTGAACACTTGAACATTGTTTCTTGTTCTTTTGTACATAAAATCACATAAATTTCCTGTTTAATTCTACGAAAACTTTGGTTCTTAATCCATAATTTATTATAATTTGACTCCTTTACTGTTGCTTTGCCTTCACTACCTAAAACGCAGGGGATGAAACCTGTGTAATTTTATACCTGATCCAATCTTGATGAGGCCGTTGTGCTGAATGAAGACAGTGTCACAGGTCAGGTTGCCATGGATGATGGGAGGATCACAGGAGTGAAGATAACTGCATATCAGGAAAAAAAGAAAAAGAAATTACAATTACATACAATGTACTGGATTTCTATCAATGTGAGTGTATATTAAAATAAAAGAACATTTTTAAAAATGACCTTAGAGCTGAAAGAATCTGCGTGCACCATCTCTTCCAAGCCTATAGGATCATACAATTTATCAGAGCAATTTCTAGTTGGTTTCCAAAATGGCTTGACATTTAACCAAATAATAAGAAGCACATATTTGTTACTATAATATGAAAACTACGCTTTGCTCCAGGAAGACAGTCCCACATTCTGGCTTTAAACACAGTTACTTTTTACCTTTAGAGAAGACTTTTCATATATTCTAGTACATATGCAGTATTATAAAGTCTTTTTTTTTTACCTTTTCATTCATGGTCTTGTGATTCTTCTTTGTCTTTTTCAGAAACTGCTTCAAGCTTCCAGATGACATATATTCAGTAATAAAAATCACCTTAGGGAGATAAAGAAGTGTGTAGAAAACACAAAGAGAGACATTGTTCAAATGTAAACTGTGATTATTTCAGGGCAATAGTAATAATTCTTATGGAGTTGACAGAATATGAAACAATGTCTCCAAAAGCCTGAGACTCACCCTGGCCCCGTTGTCCTTTTTGTCAGCCCAGTATTTGTGAAACTTGACAATGTTGGCATGCTCCAAATGGATCAGGTTATCAAATACAGCCTCTACCTTCTCCTAAATCCAAGAAAAAAGGACAGAAAGCATAGCAGTTATAATAAAATAGTACAAAATGTTGCTTTTCCACTTGCTCATAGAGAGTTCCTGTAAAGTAGCTCCCGATGACATCACTCATAGAATTCAAAAAATGCCACAGCGTCACTATGAACTTTGTACCAATGTGCCTGATCACTTTGTAACAATGTGCCTGATCACTTTG